AAAAAAAGAAAAGAAAAGAAAAAGAAATATAGAAAGGACACAGCAAATATCCTAGAAAGGAAAATATAAATAGCCAGTAAAGATACAAATATGCTTAAGCTTTTAGTAATGAAGGAAATTCAAATTAAAACACAACAAAATATCATTTCACACACTCCAGAGTGGCAAAAGTTTCAACACTACCAAACATTGTGAAGTATGGAACTGCTTCAATACTAAAAAAGCTAGAATGGATGACAGAGATAAAATTTACTCTAGAAATTGGCACTAATGTTTTCTGGTTCATTTCTTGCACTTTCTTTGTAAGATCTCAGATTGAATGTGAGCTTAGAGAGAAACTGAATGAAACAGGACCTGCCTACTTTGGTTCTAGCAAAGAAAAAAGGATTCCTACAGTTGGCCCAGCCTTGTTGATCACAGAGCTGCACTGAAGTATGAAGCCAGGGCCTAAACTATTGTTCTCTGTGACCAGCCGAAGATGGATTTATGCATTCTTGCACCCCCCAGCCAAATTCCATGTCTCCAAATTCACCCTTCTTTATATAACTAAAATGCACCCAAACCTTAACGGATTCAAAATGGAATTCATTCATTACCTTCCCCACCGAATCTGCTCTGTTTTCAAGTCTCAGTATCTCTGAACTGGAAACCAGACTGTCAAACTCTTCCCCTTCTTATTTATCCCTACAATTCGTCATTACATTTTGTTGATTTTTACTCAATGGCTCTCAAATTTAGTCACTTCGACAAGCCTCATCATCCCTTGCCTAGACCACTACAACCAGCTTTATGCAGCAACACTCCAAGTAAGTGTTAAAAATGGAAGTAAGGCCATGGCACATATATGCTGCCGGTGTGGTCTTGCTACCATCAGCCTCTCCTTGTTCTACTCCAAACTCCATGCTGCCTCCATAGTTGTCTTCTTAAGCAACATACCTGATCATGTAAATCCCTACTTAAAAACCTCCACTGCCCAATAGATAAAACCCTCACATGTTACTTTGGCTTACAGTCCGGCCCCGTTTATTCCTACATCACCCACCTACTGCTCCATCTTAACCATGCACCCTGTATTCCGGTCACACTTACATCCTCAACATACCACAAAGAACTCTTGGCCTTTGTTCATGCTATTTCCTGTCATTGGAATACTATCTGCCTAGTAAATCCTCCCCACACTTCTTTTCAGAACAAACGTGTTATCGTTAATGTGATACTCTAACCTTTCTTGTCTGAATTACAAGTCTTTAGTGTCCCCAGTCTACTTCGTTCATATCACACTATATTTTGATGTAGTACATATTTACAAGTCTGTCCTACCCACCTGACTCTGAATATCTCTAGAGAAGTAAAAGGGTGATTCAAGAATCCAATTACAATGTGGGGATGGGAAATTTCCCTCACATCCAACAAGCAATGGTCTAACACCAACTCCATATCCTACAATTCAACTCATTCTGCCTCTATCTGCTCAGAGATACCATTAGATTCCACAGGTTATGGGTGCAGTACTACAAGACTGCCCCCTCCCTCTAAGTCACAAGCCCAGATTCTGATCAGCTGGAGGTTCCAACAACCCCCTCCAACTCTGAATGCCAACAGCAAGTCTAGGTTGTTAACTGCACTTCTGACCGACTGGCTATAGATTAGATGTTCCCACAAGCTCCTCCTTGGTCCAATTAATTTGCTACAGCAGCTCTCAGAACTGAGAGAACACTTACTTAATAGATTACCAGTTTATTTAAAAAGGCTATAACTCAGAACAGCCAGATGGAAGAGATGCATAGGGCAAAGATGTGGGGAAAGGATGTTGAGCTTCCAATCCATCTGAATCTCCATGTGTTCACCAACCTGATCATACTTTTGGGTTTTTATGAAGGCTTTATTACAAAAGCATGATTGATTAAATTATTAGTCACTGGTGACTGATTCAACCTCTGGCCTCTCTCCCCTCCCCGGAAATCAGAGGGTAGGACTGAAAGTTCCAACCCTCTAATAATGCAATCTGGTTTTCTGGGCAACCAGACCCCATCCTTAGGTGGGTCCAAAAGCTAGCATTACCTTAACAAAAGACAACTTTATCACTTTCACTTAGAAAATCCCAAGGGTTTTTAGAGGCTCTGTGCCAGAAGGAGGACAAAGACCAAATACATTATTTCTTATAAATCACAATATCACAGGAAGATACGAATTATTATTCTTGGCCATCCTGAAAGCCAGTTTGAAAAACCTGATCACCAGTAAGATATTTTTGCTGCACAACACACATTCAATAAACATTCTGGGGTTAAATGATCTGATTTAAGGATAAAACAAGAAAATAGTTGTGAACCATTACTATGCTGATTATATTCCTACACTACTAGAAAAGAAAACACACTGGGCATCTGGTTGGCTCAGTCAGTTAAGCCTTCAGATCAGGTCATGATCCCAGGATCCTGGGATCCAGCCCTGAATGGGGCTCCCCGATCAGTAGAGAGCCTGCTTCTCTCTCTCCTTCTATTGTTCCCCACTCCACTCATTCTCTCTTGTTCTCTCTCAGTTCCTCTCAAGTAAGTGAATATAATCTTTAAAAAGAAAAATAGGTGGGGCGCCTGGGTGGCTCAGTGTGTTAAAGTCTCTGCCTTCACCTCAGGTAGTCATGATCCCAGGGTCCTGGAATCAAGTCCCACATTGGGTTCTCTGCTCAGCAGGGAGCCTGCTTCCCCCTCTTTCTCTCTGCCTGCCTCTCTGCCTACTTGTGATCTCTGTCAAATAAATAAATAAAATCTTAAAAAAAATAACAAAAGAAAAAGAAAAATAGGGCACCTGGGTGGCTCAGTAAGTTTAAGTGTCTGTCTTCAGCTCAGGTCTTGATCTCAAGAGTCCTGGGATACAGTATACATGTGCAGGGAGCCAGCTTCTCCCTCTCCTCCCCACTTGTGCTTTCTCCCTATCTCTGTCTCTCCCTCTATCAAATAAATAAAGTCTTGGGGTGCCTGGGTGGCTCGTTGGTTAAGCATCTGCCTTCGGCTCAGGTCATGGTCCTGGGGTCTTGGGATCAAGCCCCACATTGGGCTCCTTGCTCAGCAGAAGTCTGCTTCTCTCTCTCCCCATGCTCCCTGCCCTCCCAACCCTGCTTGTGCTCCCTCTCTTTCACTCTCTTTCTCTCAGATAAATAAAATCTTTTTAAAAATAAATGCTTTAAAAAAAAAAAAAAAGAAAATAGGGGCGCCTGGGTGGCTCAGTGGGTTAAAGCCTCTGCCTTTGGCTCAGGTCACGATTCCAGGGTCCTGGGATCAAGCCCCGCATCGGGCTCTCTGCTCAGCAGGGAGCCTGCTTCCTCCCATCTCTCAGCCTGCCTCTCTGACTACTTGTAATCTCTATCAAATAAATAAATAAAATCTTTGAAAAAAAAAGAAAAAGAAAATAGGGGCACCTGGGTGGCTCTGTCTTCGGCTCAGGTTATGATCTCGGGGTCCTGGGATCGAGCCCCATGTTGGGCTCTCTGCTCAGTGGGGAACCTGCTTCCCCCCTCTCTCTCTGCCTGCCTCTCTGCCTACTTGTGATCTCTCTGTTAAATAAAGAAAAAAAAAAAAGAAAGTATGTTTCATACATATTATCTCAAGAAATTCCCACAACCCTGTTAAAATACATATTAATATTACCACTTTGTAGAGATGGTACCTTTGTAAAAGGTTGGTGGAGATTAAGTAACTACTCCAAGATCTGGCAGCTAACAAGCAAAAAAACTATAATTTGAACCCAAGTCTACTGCTGTATCCAAGTGATTTTACTTCCTCACTATTCCTCAAATTCATTTATCCATCTTTTAGCTGGCTTAGTTTGACTTCTCTCTCAGAAGCCACAGACTAGTGTCCTAAAAGCACTCCTTTTGGAATAAAATACAACTATATTTGAATTTGAGTCAGTTATCAGTAGTCTCACTTTCCATTTGTAAATTATAGACAATATCTTTCTTCAGTAATCATGGTAAGTAAAAGAAAATGCTCAGTGTCTAGCATATGACAAATACTTAAAATAGTACTCATACTTATATTATTATGATTGTGTCATTTGTCTCTTTACCAATAACCTGCTTCCTACAATCCTTTCATTACAATCAAAGTTATTTTTCTAAAACACAAGTTATTTGCCAAGCAAATTATATAGCTAAATCTTGAGCTGCTCCCTCCCCTTCCTTCTTTTTATGCAACTCCAATACTGACTACTTAAAACCATGTTCTCATTCTACCATGTTTTTGTACATGTTCCCCATTTCATTTGCCTAGCAAATTCCAACTCATCCTTCAAACCCTGAACTCAAACATCAACTTCTCTGGAAAGTTTTCTCTATTGCAACCTCATTATTCATTTCTCTGTATTACCTTTGTACTTAACAAATACTTCTAGTCATAATAATCACATTGTCCTGTGACCACTTACCTACTAAAATGTGGACCCTTTCAGTACTGGACATTCATGTAGTTTAGCACCTAGCACAGTGCCTGGGATATGAGCAGTGCTAAATAAATGCTCACAGGGTGAAATCCAATCCTATCCCCTATCCAGGACCTATACCATCAATTCTCCCTCCCTTTCTCTCACATGGTTCCCAGTCTTATGTCTCCACTGGTCTCTTCCCTTCAGTCTAGGAACATGGTTTCTCTACCCTAAACAAACAAAAGCCTCTTTTGATTCCACTCCCACCTTTAAGTACTACCTCAGTTCTTTCTTCGATGCCTAAGACGTAATCATTTCTCAACTTGTCATTTTCCCCATTAGAATACATTTTTGTTTTCTCATGTCATAAATTCTATGCCTCTATTAAGCTCTTACACTGTTATTTTTACTAGAATTCAATGTTTAAGTGTATTTTCTTGACCATACCAATAAAGCCTCAAATTCTTCTCTGTCCCAGGCAGGTGTCTATAAACTATTACAAAAAAGGAGGAGGAGGAGGGAGGAAACTATTCAAAGGAATATCTGTCCATCTTCTACAGCAAAGACGTGTAAGTTACCTGAGTAAGAATTAAGGGAAACTGTCCACCGTACTGTTAGTCCTAGTAGGACCACAACTGCCATCAAGTTCCATTTCTCCATATTTTTTCTACAAATCTAAGGAGGGAAAAAATAGGACCAGTGCCAGAATACTTTTAACAGGTAGTCAGTCACTTCTTTTCTTTATCGGAGAAATGTTATCAATTCTTTGGGATTAGGAGTTTGAGAGAACTTTAAGTGATGCTTCGTTTCCAGTTAAATACGGACTTTTCTGTCTGTGAAGAAGTAGCCTGGAGGAAAAAAAAAAGAAAGACCAAGAGTTAGCTGAGCACAATAAAACAATGAACCCATTAAACTAAGTAGGAAGATGGGGAATTATGTGTGTTGATAAGAAGGAAAAGTGGGTAGTTTTAAGTTCTTTATTCACTAGACCTCTAGTTAGGAAATATACCTTAAAAGGTAGCTCTCCCTGTTAAATGAGACTCAATATATCGAAAGATGTGGTAAGGTTCTTTCTTACAAAGGAACAGTCCTGAATGAAGAAAAAGAACAGATAAATAATAGATAGTTGAAGAGTCAATGCCATCTAAAGCATGTTTGCCTACATTTAAAAATAAAACTACAAAAGTTAACAAAGAGATAATTTATCTTTGGTACAGAGAGAAAGAGGAATTTTACCTTTCTATTAATTTGAGAAAGTCCACTAGGGTAATTTATGTAGTTTGACTTTTATTTCTTTTCTTCCAAAATATACTTTCACTAACCACACCATCTTTCCATCTTAGAGAATGAACCTTTATTAGAATCAAATAATAACCCCGATTCTTTTTTTTTTTTTTTTAAGAATTTACTTATTTATTTGACACAGGGTAGCAGCAGGCAGAGAGGGAAGGAGAAGCAGGTTCCCCACTGAGCAGGGAGCCCCACTCAGGACTCAATCCCAGGACCCTGGTATCATGACCTGAGCTGAAAGCAGGCACTTAACCAACTGAACCACCCAGGTGCCCCAATGTCTCCAATTCTTGAGAGAATGCAGTAAGATGTAATTAACCATCTATGTGTTTCTTTTTTCTTTCAGTTTTTCCCTTGGGTTGGATGCATTACAAGGAAAAAGCTTTGGGAAATAATGGGCCACTTTAACCACAGGATATGCTTTAGATGTAATCAGAAAAATACAGTAAGTCAACTGAAAAAACTAGGTGAAAATTGGCACATTCCACCTACTGGGCAAAAAAAAATTTTTAAGGGGCGCCTGGGTGGCTCAGTGGGTTGAGCCTCTGCCTTCAGCTCAGGTCGCGATCTCAGGGTCCTGGGATCAAGCCCCGCATCCGGCTCTCTGCCTGGTGGAGAGCCTGCTTCCTCCTCTCTCTCTGCCTGCCTCTCTGCCTACTTGTGATTTCTCTCTGTCAAATAAATAAATAAAATCTTTTAAAAAATTTTTTTTAAGAATGTAATTAAACATATTAATTTTATTTTTATCTTTTATTAAGTTTTTTTTTTTAAGATTTTATTTATTTATTTAACAGAGAGAGAATGAGAGGGCACAAGATGTGGAAGTGGCAGAGAGAGAGCAAGAAGCAGGCTCCCGGGTGCCTGGGTGGTTCAGTGGGTTAAGCCACTGCCTTCGGCTCAGGTCATGATCTCAGGGTCCTGGGATCGAGTCCCACATCGGGCTCTCTGCTCAGCAGGGAGCCTGCTTTCCCTTCCTCTCTCTCTGCCTGCCTTTCTGCCTACTTGTGATCTCTCTCTGTCAAATAAATAAATAAAATCTTTAAAAAAAAAAAAAAAAAAAGAAGAAGAAGAAGAAGAAGCAGGCTCCCCTCTGAACAGGGAACTTGATGTGGGCCTCTATTCCCAGGACTCTGGGATCATGACCAGAGGTGCAGGCAGGCGCTTAGCTGACTGAGCCACCCAGGCACTTAACCAACTGAGCCACCAGGCACCCCAAGTTTTTTAATTCCAGTACAGTTAACATACAGTGTTATATCAGTGTCAGGTATATAATATAATGACAAAAATTATTTTCTTACTTAAATATAGTGAGGGTCAGGGCGCCTGGGTGGCTCAGCTGGTTAAGTGGCTGCCTTTGGCTTAGGTCCATGGTCCGGGGGTCCTGGAATCTAGACCCTCATCAGACTCCCGGGGAGCTTCTCCCTCTCCCTCTGCCTCTCTCTGTCTCTCATGAATAAATGAATAACATTTTTAAAAAGCAAAACAAATAAATATAGCAAGAATCAACTCTAGAACTAATGAAGTCTAGCATCCCAATTAGGTAGTATGACTCAAAGCAGTAAATAAGTCTATGTAAATATATTAGTCACATTTAGATTGTATAAATTCCACTTCCTCCCTCATACCACATCCATTTTTGATCATCTTACTATTCACTAGAACTTTCATCACAGAGGCAAGGTAAGAGGAAAAATTAAAATTCAATCACTGTGGCACACCTGGGTGGCTCAGTAGGTTAGGCCTCTGCCTTGGGCTCAGGTCATGATCCAGGGGTCCTGGGATCAAACCCCACATCAGGCTTCCTGCTGGGTGTGGAGTATGCTTCTTCCTCTCCCTCTGCTCTCTCCCCACACCCCCAAAAAAAGAAGGAAAAAAAAAAGCTATACACTAGGGGCTTTTGGCTAACTCAGCTGGTGGAGTTTGTGACTCTTGATCTCAGGGTTGTGAGTTCAAGCCCCAAGTTGGGTATATAGATTACTTAAAGTAAAACTTAGAAAACAAACAAACATAAAAACAGGAAAACTTCAGTGGCTCAGTGGGTTAAACATCTGCCTTTGGCTTAGGTCATGATCCCAGTGTCCTGGGACTGAGTCCCACCTCAGGCTCCTTGCTCGATGCGGGGGCTGCTTCTCCTTCTGCCTGCAACTCCCTGCGCTGTGCACTCAATCTCTCTCAGACAAATAAGTAAAATCTTTAAAAAAAAAAAAAGGTTCGACACCAAAGAATACATATTATCTGGTTCCATTTATGAAAGGTTCATAAATGGACAAGACTAATCTATGATTAGGTTATCTTTGGGGAGAAAAGAAAGGATGGTGATTGGGAGAGGTCTCCAGGGAGGTCTTCTGAGAAGAAGCTGAGAACTTTGTGTTTTGTTGTTGCTGTTGTTTTTGAGCATTTTTTAAAAATTTTATTTATTTATTTGACAGGCAGAGATCACAAGTAGGCAGAGAGGCAGGCAGAGAGAGAGAGGAAGCAGGCTCCCTGAGAGAGAGAGAGAGAGAGAGAGAGGAAGCAGGCTCCCTGCTGAGCAGAGGGCCCAATACAGGACTCGATTCCAGGACCCTGGGATCATGACCTGAGCAGAAGGCAGAGGCTTAAACTACTGAGCCACTCAGGTGCCCCTGTTGCTGTTGTTTTTTAAAAGAGGGATGGAGGGTGGGAGGGTCGGAGGAAGAGGGAGAGTGAGAACCTTAAACAGGCTCCAGGCCTAGAAACAAGTCCCACGCTAGGTCTGAACTCAGGATCCTGAGATCATGACCTGATCAAGAATCCCTCGCTTAACCAATGTGGGTGCCCCACATGTTGTTTTTTGATTTGAGTGGTGGTTAAAAGATGTGTTTACATGGGGCACCAGGGTGGCTCAGTGGGTTCAAGCCTCTGCCTTCAGCTCAGGTCATGATCCCAGGGTCCTGGGATTGAGCCCCACATCAGGCTCTGTGCTCAGCGGGGAGCCTGGTCCCCCCCCCCCTCACTCTGCCTGCCTCTCTGCCTACTTGTGGTCTCTGTCAAGTAAATAAACAAAATCTCTTTTAAAAAAAGGCTCTAAAAAAAAAAAAAAAGACGTGTTTACAATAAATTAGCAAGTTACAACTTATGATTGCTGTATTTTCTTGGACATGTTATATTCTAATAAAAAAGCATAAAAGGAAATTACATTTTTTAAAAAAGATTACATTTACTTAACAACTACAATATAAGTTCCGTGCGAGCAAGGATCCTCCTGTCTTAGGCCCTGGCTCTGTTCCCTGCACCTAGAACAAAGTTGCAGGAAGCAGGTACTCATAAAATATCTTTTGAATAGAGAGATTCCTCTGTACAAAGAGGAGAGGTACCTAATTTTACTGAGTCCTTTGTGGCCAAAGTTATTATGAGACTTATCGCGTCTCTTCTTGAACACTAACAAAGGTGCTTTATTACTTTTTCCATCTGCAAAGCAAAGTGCAGTAACTTTCTAACCCATCCACACAACACGACGTCTTCACGCAGGTGGCAGATAGGTTTTCAGTCCTACTGTGCCCTAAGATTAGTACATTTCGATCAAAACCAAAACAAAACAAACAAAACCTCATTGGTTCCCTTCCACTGCCCAATTTGTTCTTTTTAGTCTGAAAGGTCCTTCCCCCAAGGTGGACACAACACCCAGGGAGTGCAGCTATTCCGGAGGAGCACGTCTGGCAAAAGGGACCATCCTAACGTTTCTCCTCCCTTTCTCCAGCGGGCCAGACCCTCAAGACCGCAGGAACAAGAGCGTCAAGGGAACCAAGCCCGCTGCCAAGTCAAGGGGTCCACCACCATCAGCCCGTCCCGTCACTCGACCCCCCTCCACGCAAGCCAGCAGGGTGACCTGGGGAGGCCTTGCCAGCCGCCCCTCTGAGAGAAGCCGGACCTGGAGCCGCGCTGCTACCTGCGCGCGGAATCGCTGCGCGTCGCGAGTCCCCCTTCCGCACCCTCTCCCTACCCTAGCCGGGAGACCCAGATGCCCCAAGATCCCGGCCTCTTACCCCACCGCCCGCGGAACGTTGGGATTCGCGCCTGCAGCTATCCCAAGAAGGCGCCTGCGCGCTCGCCCCCGCGGCGGAGCGCTTCTCTCCGCCTTCCGCCTCCGCTTGAGCGCGCTCCGAGCGCGGGAGCGAGCCCGTCGAACGTAAGGGGAGAGGCCGGGAAAAGGCGCGGAGAGGCGGTGGCCGGCTTAGGAGGCGGAGCAGCGGGGGCTGGAACCCGAGAGGCCTCGCACCCCGGGTTAGGCTTGGGGCAGGTGGAAAGCCCCTTGCTCTTCTTTCCCGGGATGATGGCCAAGTCCTGAGCGGCTGCTTAGTCCACGGATTCCTGTCAGGGGCGCGTCCTGGCTCCCTTCGCAGAGTGGAGAGCCCTTGGCTAATCCTCACCACCGGGCAGTGGGTCTTCCTCTGCGACTGTGCTCTCAAGGAGCCAGAAAGCCAACCTGCTTCACAGTCTTTAAGCCACATGCCTACGGAGAATGTACTAAGACTGGTAAGTCACTTCATGTAAGAAACATTAAACGTCCAACCATTTTTGAGAGCCTGTGGGTTATACAAAAGAACAGCCCTGCCCTCAAGTAGCCACTACACCTTTCCCATCAAGCAGCTTGGATCACTTATTCCCAAACTTGCCCAAAACAACTACCTTACCTCCTTTGTTCAGAGAACGCAAACGTTACTCTCTGCTGAATCCTACCTTTCTCTATATGCCAACACCTCTGATTTATAATCCATAATTACGGGAAAATATTTGACTATGGCTGTATACTAAGTGGATCTACACAACTTTCTGGATCTACTTTTCTTCATCTGTGAAATGAGTGATAAGTCTATGTAAACTTCCACATCTAAAACTTTATATTTAAAAGACTGTCAAGGGACGCCTGGGTGGCTCAGGTCATGATCCAGGGTTCTGAGATGGAACCCCACTGAGGCTCCCTGATCAATGGGGAGCCTGATTCTCCCTCTCCAATTTGCTCGTGCTCTTTCTTTGCTATCTTTCTTTCAAATGAATAAAATCTTTTAAAAAGAAAAGAAAAATAAGACTGTCAGTACTAGAAATATGTAGAAATATGGCCAAGTCCCTGCCCTCAAGAGATTTCTCTTTGGAAAGACATTTTTATGCATAAAAGGATATAAAGCAATAGAAGGGAGCACATGCTAAATGTCAGATTATTGGATTATGCGTTAAGTACTGTAGGAGTTCAGAGGAGTTCCAAACTGTAAATTTAAAACTATCAGGAAGGGGAGCACCTGGGTGGCTCAGTGGGTTAAAGCCATTGCCTTCTGCTCAGGTCATGATCTCAGGGTCCTGGGACCAGAGCCCCGCATTGGGCTCTCTGCTCAGCAGGGAGCCTGCTTCCCCCTCTCTCTGCCTGCCTCTCTGCCTGCCTCTCTGTGTACTTGTGATCTCTCTCTCTCTCTGTCAAATAAATAAATGAAATCTTAAAAAAAAAATAAAAACAACTACCAGGAGGGGCGTCTGGATGGCTCAGTGGGTTAAAGCCTCTGCCTTCGGCTCAGGTCGAGATCTCAGGGTCCTGGGATCCAGCACCAAATCGGGCTCTCTGCTCAGCGGGGAGCATGCTTCCCTTCCTCTCTCTGCTAGCCTCTCTGCCTACTTGTGATCTGTCCATCAAATAAATAAATAAAATCCTTAAAAATAATAATAAATAAATAACACTATCAGGAAATGCCTTCCCTGAAGCAGTCAGCAGAGCTCTGAAGGAAAGCCTGGAATATGGGAGTAGGACTCCAGGCAAAGGAAATAGTTCAAGTCAAAGTTGCGGCAGCTGAAAAGTACAGAACATTTCCTCCAGTTCAGATGATGGCTAATGAAGCTGGAAAGGAATAATTGTGGAGAACCTTGAATGTGGTGGTTGTGGTGTTTGGAATTTATTCAATGATCAGTAAGGAGCCAATAAATGATTTTAGCAGGGATTCCAGTGTACAGCACAGTGTTAGAGAAAATTTAAAGTGGTGATAGTGGTTAAGATGAATCAGAAGAGGTAGAAACCACTGTAGTAGTCATGCATGATTAGACAAAGGCCTGGACTGAGATGGTAATAGTGGAACTGGAAAAGAAGAAATCAATGCAACAGCAAGAATAGACAGGTCCTTGCAACAGTAGATATGTAGAAGTAAAAACTAAGGAGAGGGTAAAATCAAGGAAGGCTCCCAAGGTTTCAAGCCTGAGTTACTAAAACATCTGAAAGATCTAGGGAATCCTAAGGAGAAGCAGGCTTGGAGGGAAAGGCGATGCACTGTATTGAATTTGAGGTGACAGCAAGACAACAAATTAATAATCTTCAGATCCCAGTTATGAATCAGACCCTAGAAAAACAATTGGGGTTGAAGATAGAGATATGAAAGTCTTTCATTTGGTTGAAGAATGAGGGAGACAGTACAATGGGAGAATAGACAACGATATTTCAGTAAACCATTATTTAAGGTCAAATAGGACCTTTTAAGGTCAAAAGGAAAAAGACAAGCTAATGAAAGATATTACATGGTTACAAGCATAGGGGAAAATCCAGGACATTGCAAGATACAAATAAGCATTTTATGGACAAGAACCATGTTTTTTTGAATCTTATTGGCTTGTAATACATCAATTGTAAGAAACACCATTATTTTATGTACTACTAAGTAAAAAGGTTCCCATTTAAACTAGTTATGACTGTAAAACATTTAATTTCAGAGGTATTAATATGTGAGAAATATACATCTTCAGTTGGTAAAAGCCTCTCTCCTTTCTGCCTAGCTTCTGGCAGAATTATGAAGAACACAGTTGGTACTTTAAAAGTTCATTGAATAAATAGTAGAAGGGACCTCACAGACTCTAATTCGTAGTTGAACTGCCCTATCAGTCCATCTACATCCTACTCCTGCTCTTTCCCTCTAGTAAATACTATCATCTCTGAAAGCTTAATACCTATACGTAACAGATGCTGAGTAAATGCATTTTGAATGAGGTCATTAGGGTAAACCCTAGTCCAACCCGTCTTGTGTCCTAAGAAAAGGAAATTTGGTCACAGATGTGCCCATTCACAGAGAGACCATATGAAGACACAGGGAGAAGATGACCATCTACAGCCAAGGAAAGAGGTCTCAGAAGAAACCAACACCGCTGACACCTTGATCTTGGACTTTTGACCTCCAGAAGTATGAGAAAATAAATTTTTGTTGTCATCCAATCTGTTGTATTTAGTATAGCAGCCGTAATAAACTAATTCCTACCTTATGAAAGGTACTCTAAGTATTCAATACACTAGGCCAACTTCCTTACATAAATCATACCTTAATGGTAGTTTCTAGCTCCTTCCCTAGATTACTTTCACCCACTAAGAAAACAAGCCCTTTTCTGTCTCAAACCCAGGGCTTCCCTGAGTCTGGACATAGCTGTTCTTTAAAATAGAATCATTTTACCAGTCTGTACATCTTCCTAATTTGGTCCTTGTATGTCATTTTCCTTTATTCTGCAATCTCCAAGTTTCAATACACCCTGGCCCTCTCCAAGGAGTAAGTCCACCTAAGTAGATTAGAATTAGAGTTAACCCCCACATTTCCAAGTTTGATTACAGCCATTAGCAAAATAGTAGCCTCTTCTATCTACTAAAAATCTTTCATATCCAATTCATTTGATCCAGACAATAACTCAGAGAATGGTAGAATAGGCATTATCCCTTTCTGATACACAAGAAAACTTGAGAGCCTCAGTTCCCCAAGTATGCTCCATTGAACTCTCATTCACTAAGTATTGTTTAAAAAAAAAAAGTCTGAAGACAGTCTCTTGATGCAGAAATAAATAAGTTTGAAAACAGTGGGTTATACTAATGTAAAAAGGATTTCTCACTCCAGGTCTTTTCAGAGCCTTTTATGTGTTATATACATCATTCTCCAAGAGAATATGGAATTTTCAGACTTATTTGGACCATGGTATCCTATCCCCACACTCACCCCACCTCCCACTTCCCATCTTACAGAGTGGTCAGTGAAACTCATACTTGGAAATGCTGGTTTGAGACATTATGTAATTTCTGTAAGAGATATAGCAAATCAATGTCAGAACTATGATTAAACATGGATCTTACTCTGATTCATTTTCAGATCTATATAAAAGAAGTTCAGAAGCATAGAGATGGCATACAAAAAATGCCAAAACATTGACATAAAGACTATCCTTAGTATGACTATGAACCTTGAAAGTTAATTAAAAAGAAAACTAAATCGAAAAAGAAATCCTTAAAAATCAAAAAATGAAACAAAAAAACTGTAATGTGTATCCAGGTGGTAGCTCAACTACGCAGAAAGTAACTCTTCCAAGTGACTTTAAAACACAGTAATCTGGGGTGCCTGGGTGGCTTAGTGGGTTAAGCCATTGCCTTTGGCTCAGGTCATGATCTCAGGGTCCTGGGATTGAGTCCCGCATCAGGCTCTCTGCTGAGCAGAGAGCCTGCTTCCCTCTCTCTCTCTCTGCCTGCCTCTCTGCCTACTTGTGATCTCTCTCTGTCAAATAAATAAATAAAATCTTTTAAAAAAAAATTTAAAAAAAAATTAAAATTAAAAAAAAAAACACGGTAATTTGACAGTAAATCCCTACTGCAGTATACCCTAAGGAAAAAGATCTCTTAAAAAAAATAAAATAAGGGGGTGCCTGGGTGTCTCAGTGGGTTAAAGCCTCTGTCTTCGGCTCAGATCATGATCCCAAGGTCCTGGAATCGAGCCCCACATCGGGCTCTGTTCGGCAGGGAGCCTGCTTCCTCCTCTCTCTCTGCCTGCCTCTCTGCTTACTTGTAATCTCTGTCTGTCAAATAAATAAATAAAATCTTTAAAAAATACATACAAAAATCTGGAACACTTTGTTATACTATCAGGGAAACTATCAAAAACTATGCCAAGTGTCAAAAACTAGCCAATGTCAAAAAGTCTCAGGAGCTAACTTGAAGAGATTCCCACTTGTTATAGGTGGGACAACATTGAGCATCAGTAAACATAATAGCCAATGGATCGATACACATCAAATCTGAATTGTCTGTGGAATTGTTCCATTCTCCATGAGTTCATAATGATTAAAAAAAAAATCATCAGTGGACAAAGCTGGTATA